ACTTCTGATACTCATGTTTCTGAGAATCGTATCCCCCTTCAGGTTTCCTCTTGGTGCCTGACCTGGATTCATAATGTGCATTCAGGTGAGTTTTCAGCTGAGGCTCTGAGAACTGGGACCCTCAGTGTGTTCTGGTCATCTCGTGGCTTAGTTGTAGAAGCAGGTGTGTCTCTTGTCTCTGCTTGCCTCCAACTGCACACTCAGCACCTAGGACTGGAATCACTGACTACTGAATCTCCTACATGTATTGCTGCTACTTCAAGTTCCTACACTTGAAACTTTATGATTTTTCCAAGGGGAGATGGGACAATGTCATCTAAATATTCCAAATGTTTGGCCTTCGAGAAAAGAGCTTCTAGTAATTGAACCATGGGAAACCGAGCTTCTGGAGGGTTGGCCGTGGGGGTGTGTACGTGTGCGTGCCCAGGGGTGAGTGTTTCTCAGGATTTCTAACGATTCAAATTACCGTTGAGTATACATAAAGAATGAGTCTCTGTATAGAAGAACAAATGTGTGCATTCACCCCCAGTTACAATGGTCTCCATTGCATTTCAAAGGAGAGGATCAGACTATCTGAATATAAATACAATCTGATGTTAATTTATTCTAAGACCATCACTTTGATCGTCCTAAAGAATTCTGCCTTTGTGAATACTGTGTTAAATTTTTTAAAATTTGTGACAGGATTGTAGCAAATTATTATTTAAGGAAAATAAATGGCATAAACATTTAATGTGGTATTTTTAAACAGTGGTTTTTATGTACTCAGAAGAGAGAGTTAAGCCAGGTTCTTAATGGTATTTATGGAAAAGATGTTTCCCTGTTATCATGCACAGAAATGAAGCCATTTTGATATTCAGCAAATTCGGTGCCAATTGAATAGTTTGCTGGTGGCAAGATGGATAAAGACCTATATAAGGGGGTGGGAGGACCCTAAAGTTTCTTCATTTCCAGAGCTAGCGTATTTACTTGCATGCTCTCCGTCTTTTCTACATGGATATTTTACTGCTAAGTGGCAGGGGTGGGAGGGAGATGTCACACCATAACAGTACCATAACCGCATACTGTAAAACAAGAAACCACCAGAAAATTTGCAGCTGAGGGGCAGGAGATTCAGTTCCTGTTCCCACTCAGCACTAACTACTTGGGGGCCTGCTCACTTAGAAGCTCTACCTCTCTTTCATTATCTGTAAAATAAATGCAATATGTAGGACTTTAGATTGAACATGAGGATTGAATAAGATCATGCTATTCATGTGACTTCATCAGCTGGAATATCAACAGCCACTGCTGTGGATGAGTTACTTAGAAAAGTTTAGTTAGCAGTGATTAGCCCAAAAACACAACAGTCAAAAGTAGAATCCACTGGATTTTTGTTTCTCTTTCTAGAGACAGGGTCTCACTGTCACCCAAGCTGGAGTACAGTGACATGATCATAGTTCACTGCAGCCTCAAATTCCTGGGCTCACGCAATCCTTGCACCTCAGCCTCCTGAGTAGCTGGGCCTGCAGGTGCGTGTCACCTCGCCTGGCTCATTTTTTCTTTTTTGTACAGATAGGATCTTGATGTGTTGCTTGAGCTGGTCTCTAATTCCTGGCCTCAAGTGATCTTCCCACCGCAGCCTCCCAAAGTGTTGAGATTATAGGCCTGAGCCACTGCACCCAGCCTAACTGGGTTTTTATGAGAGGAAAATGGAAAATGTTCTTCTAGAAGAGAGAGAACAAGAGCACAAAATAATTTGGACTCAGAAAAATTCAGCAAAGCTCCAAGAAAGAGGGGGTGGCGGGAGTGCTGGCATAAATTTCAATGCCATTACGATATTTAGCAAATCATTGCCGTTTTGATAAAAATGTGTCATCACCCTGTGTGCAAAATGTTTGCAAAGTAGTCTGAATGTCTTTGGAGATGGGTGTTTTATTGTTTTTCTCCAAAACAAATTGTTTATTACGGTTGCAGAAATGTTGCCGTTATGGTCACATACGTTTTTGAAAAGCTTACCAGGAGGTTGCAGGCAGTGTTTTCTGCCACTGGGCAGGCCAGCGGTTCTGATTCACCAGAAGTCACCAGGAACAAAATCTAGGAAATACCGGGAATAACAAGACAAGACAGTTATCTAAAAGAGCAAAAGATACAAGTAAATTATGTAGACATTACCAATTAAAATCCGTAGCTCCAATTCCTGTATCACTACCTTATACACTTAAGCAATCATACGTAAGCCTTCTTTTTAGTCCTAAGTGAAGAACTGCATCAGAATCAGGATAAATATTTTGCCTGGGAAATTTGGCTGGATATGAATGGAGAAGACATTTACATCCTACATTCTGGCACTTTCTAGAAGATCTAATGAGGCTCCACGTTGATGTGCCAATTTAATCAAGATGACAGATCCCTGCTGGTGTCACCTTCTAGAACCTGCACTTGGTGTTTTGACTTTCCAGAAGAAAAGATGCAACTCAGTTTGGTTGAGGGGGCAGTGGTCATATCAGACACTTGTACTGGTCTTTCGTTTCCTGCCACAGTAATTCATATTTAAATACGCCTTTAGATTAGTGTGGATACCACTGCTGCTATGTTGCTGCTACTTGATCTTTTTTTCTTTGGTCCCCCAGAAATGATCATTTGAGGGCAAGCAAAAAAGGCCTCATCATCCTCCAGAGGCAACAAAGAGGCAACAGAAATAGGGAAAGATTGTGAGAGGCAGGGTTTGGGTCTAGACCTGGACTTAGGCAAGATACACTGCCCTCAACCCTCAGTTTTCTTATATGTAAAAAGGGAAGGTTGGGCTGAATGAGGTGAAGTCAAGATTTGCCATTCTGGGAGCCTAATATACCAGAGAATCAAAATTAATCCTAAACCAAAGTTTTATGGCTCCTACAGAGATGTGTCACATTTCTGCGACTTGTCACCAGGTGGTTGTCCCTCAGACTTTGGTGCTGTTAAATGCATAGACAAGGATGGCCGCCCTCTGGTTCTTGCCTGTCATCTTCAGCTGAGAGCAGTCTCGGTAAAAATGGCAAAGATTCTGTGACCTCAGACCGGGGACAAAATGCTTGGGAGTCTGACGGCCTGGCTGGGCCACCATCCTCATAGCTCCCATTCTGTTTGGAGCAACCAAAGGATTTGTGTGAAGCTATTTGGAAAAGGTTCATAATTGAGCAGCAATCTGTTTTCTGTATATTTGGAATGTTTTTCATTCTGACCTGTTCTATCAGTGATTCTACTGAAAAACAATTTGATCAATATAAAAATGTTCAAGCTATGCAACACTGTTATTGTCCGCTGATATTTTATTCTAATAGATTTCTGCAAATATTTTCTTGTATTTGCTTTTTCCTTTCATTTTTAAATGAACTCCTGGAGGAGAGTGCCCTCTGCTCATCTCCGCCTTCCCTCTGGTCAGGAGCATGAACTCCCATCTTGGCCTTGACCTGGTGTATTAGTCCATTCTCATGCTGCTAATAAAGACATACCTGAGACTGGGTAATTTATGAAAGAAAGAGGGTTAATGGACTTGCAATTCCACAGGGCTGGGGAAGCCTCACAATCCTGGTGGAAGGCAAATGAGAAGCAAAGCCACATCTTACATGGTGGCAGGCAAGAGAGCTCATGCAGGGGATCTCCCATTTATAAGGCCATCAGATCTCCTGAGACATATTCACCACCACGAGGACAGTGTGGGGGGAACCACGCCCATGATTCAATTATCTCCACCTGGCCCTGCCCTTGACACTTGGGGATTATTACGATTCAAGGTGAGATTTGGGTGGGGACACAGCCAAACCATATCACCTGGTGTGGCAGATTCTAGATGCCAGTTAGGTTCCACCATCCTGACAAGAGTAGCTTTCACGTAGTACAAGTTCACCTTTTGTCCTGCAGGGGTGCCAGCGTGTCTCCATGGTCACTGGGGCCCCACATTCCTCGGCCATCCTCAATCTGCAGCTCACTTCACATTGCGGCTAGCAGGAGGGAGGCAGGGGCAGGGGGAAAGCATGACCCCTCCCTGGAGGGGGCGCCACCTGGATATGGTACATCCTGTTGATCAGAACTTCATCACAGGTCCATGCCTACTGCAAGGAAAAGAGTCAAAGGTCAATTTTACTCCAGGAAACCATGTACCTAACAAATTAAGGGCTTCTGTCTCAGAAACAAAAGAATAGGCTTGAGAGACAATGAGTGTTCTCTGCCATAGCTCAACCCTTTGGCTGCCTTTCTTTTCTGACAGAGTCTGCTCTGTTGCCCAGGCTGGAGTGTAGTGGCACAATCATAGCCCACTGCAGCCTTGATTTCCCAGACTCAAGCAATCCTCCCACCTCAGCCTCCCTAGTAGCCGAGACTACAGACATGTGCCACCACACCCAGCTAATTTTTGAAAATTTTTTATGGAGACGGGATCTTGCTATGTTTTCCAGGATGGTCTCAAACTCCTGGGCTCAAGTGGTCCTCCCATATTGGCATTCCCAGTGTGCTGGGATTATAGGCATGAGCCACTGCATCTGGCCCACCACAGCTTCTATAGCCTGCTTACTCCTTGGGCAGTTTGGGGGAGTCCCCAAGGTTACTTTCTTTTTTTTTTTTTTTTTTTT